GTACGAGCACGAGTGTTACGTTACGGTTAAAAAATGTTCCTCGACGGCGTCTCTCAACAGGTTGCCAATCACTGTGGCGTTAGCACAGGCGCCGTGGGAATTGTAGTCCTTTATAGTGGGTTGACTACAGACGTCACAATTAGGTGGCCTTTCTTATCAAATCAAAATACTGGCTCTAACAATCATACTCACACTCAGTCTGCCAGATGCTGAAAAACTTGTCCACGCCTTTGTCTCCTCCAGGCTGGACTACTGTAACACACTTCTCATTGGGATTCCTAGCAAGAACATCCAGAAGCTGATATACATCCAGAACACCGCTGCTAGGATCCTGATGAGTGCGGAAGTACGAACACATCACACCCATCCTCAAATCACTGCACTGGCTCCCGGTCTCACTCAGGATTGACTACAAAATCACCCTCTTCACTCATCAGTGCATTCATGGAAATGCTCCCTCCTACATCAAGGAATTGCTCACCCCACAAACCTCTACGAGGAACCTACGTTCAGAAAAGGCAAACCTCCTCCTTCCACCAAGGACAAAACTGAAAACCATGGGAGACCAAGCCTTCTGCTCCGAGACTGTGGAATGCCCTCCCAAACCACAGACTGTGGATGCTTTCAAAAAAGGCCTAAAAACGCATCTTTTTATAATAGCCTTTAACTAGATTTTTACAATACGATATGTAATGGCATACAAAAGTATGACTTTTGTATACATAATTTGTATTACATACTCTGACAAACTATACCATGTTTACGATCTTTCTCTTCGATACTGCACTACTTTATGGCATTATTACTTTTTTAAATTAGTTTGACGATTTATTTCATTCATTTTTATTTCATGGCATACTTAAGTACAATGTTGTTTGACATTGGTGACATACTACCAAGATGTTTTCAACGTACTGTAACAATGGTTGGCATGTTATTATCTGGCATGTTATTGAATGACTATTTATGATCTTTGATTATTGTATTTAAAAGAAAAAAGAGCATTGCAGAGTTGTCCTCTTGCTAACTTTAATTAAAAGAAAAAAAAGTAGCCGAAGTAATGGCATGAAGTAAGACAACAATTTATTTTAGTTATAGATGTTTTAGTCGTCTCAACTAATCATTCGGTCGCTAAAATGACAGCTTGTTTTCAGAAGAAAAAAGGCTGTTGTGTTGTCAGAACAAAAAACCTGAAAAGCTGAACACATTTAACAACCTGGAATCAGTGTCTTCTTGGCATTAATGCTTCAAAGCAAAAAAGGCAAACAATTACAATTTTTGCAGATTCAATTTCTTTTGATCTAATAATTTAAGCTCGAACAAAAGTACAAGCTGAGTGCGAGGGCTGAAACTGACAGGATTATACTGTTACGCAACACTAACTCCTTAGCAACGGGTCCTGCACATAGCACAGATTCCTTAAAGCTACTACAAATATCCTTATCCTGGTATCAGTTTCGTGTTGTGCTGGGCAGCTCCTGAGAGTCCTCAGCTTCACAAGATCTGCATTTAGCTTCGGCAATGTTAAGGCAGATAAGTCAAAACATAAATGAAAAGGTCAAGACGTCTTTAAAAATCATCAGTACAGGATTTATTTTTAAAAAGCATTTTTAACTGTGGAAAAGACCTGGCAACATAAACTATGACATTATATATTAAGAGACAAAAACTTTTAAAATGTGACTCTACACATACAGGAGCTACATGAGTGGTTAGGTAACATTTTTGTCCGAGTACGGAAAGGTGCAGGTATGCGTATGAGAATTAGTAATACAGTGCATCAGGACAGACAAAAGTTATCTGGATTTCAAGTTATTTTTCAAAAATTGTTAAGATGTTTAATTCATTCCTAACAGTCATAAAAGCTACACCATAACCTGTGCAACAGAATATGCCCTTTATGAGCCAGTAACACATGGAAAGCAAACCACACCGAGTTATTTACAGCTAGAGCTGCCATGGCTCCTCACTGTAGCAACAGTAAAATGTCAAAGGATCACTGAGGTGATGTTTATTATTGTCCACAAATCCCATGAAAAGCACAAAACCAAGTTATGAAATGTATCTTAGATCATCAAAATAAGCATCTTAATGTTTGTGTTATGACCAAAATGGCTTTTGAGGTCACAGTAAACTTGACCTTTGACCACCATGAACCTATCAGTTTGCCCGGAGGACAAGTGGTTGTTTAAGGCAAATTTGAAGAATTTCCCACATGGCTTTCCTGAGAATGGGAGGGATGGACATAAAACCTGAAAACATCATGTATCTGACAACGACAGTTGGCCAATGGTAGTGAGGCTTAAAAAGGAGAAAGCATTTGATTTAGCGTCTGTTCACAGACCTCAGCCAATGAGTCGAGGCATTGGAAAATGTTCAATAGGAACAAATTTAAAAATAATTAAATAAATAAAAAAAGGTACTTTACTTAAAAACAATCCTGTCACGCAGAGGTTAAAAGAAAGGAAGGGATATATTTGATTCTAAAAGTTGTATCAGGGTTTATGATGGAAAAATATAGATTGTTAATTGACAGCGAGTTGCTGCAGGGACTGATGGGGTTAATGGACCCCCCCCCCGTGCTTTAAGTCAGGAGGTGGAACCACCCAGCACTTGGTATGTGATGAGATACTGAACGAGTCTCTCTGCTCCTAACTCTCTGAGGTAACAAACCGTGTGAATCTCAGTTGACATTTTCTGCCTCCAGGTTGTCCTTAGTGTTTGACCTTTGATCCTCAGCCTCGATGCATTTCTTTTTCTGAAGAATGCGGTCCACCAGAACGACAAACACGGCTGAAGAAATGAGGCAAGCCCCCGACAGGTAGAAGGCAGAGCTGTAGTCGTTCGTCTGGTCTACCAGCCAGCCTGCAAGAAACACAGAACAGAAGATCAGTGTGTGCTGGTCATAAATTAATATACGTAAGCATTCCTGTAGAAGAAGGAAATTACCATACTACATACAACTATACTACAACTTCTTAGTGAAAGACTTTGACATTTTGAATACATTTCAATGAAATACTATATTAAGATTTTTTAAACGGCAAAAATATTGCATTTTAAGTATAATTTTATGACATACAATATGGGAAGTCAGCATAAAGGGAGGCCCTACAGAAAAGGCAATACATACAACTAAATATATTTGTAGATATTACTTCCGTGTTAAATTGACACCCTGCCTCTCTGTGACGCTGCAGTTAGGCACAGTGATGCTTTGAGTTTAATTACAGCAGCATAAAAATATGCTAGCAAGGACAATTCCAACATGATCATGCTTGGCATGAATAATGTTTACCATTTTCACCACGTTGATATCATTTATTGGCATAAACAATTATTGTATTAGGGCACCAAAGTTCATCCCATAGTTATTTTCCTATATTTATTTTGTATAGTTATGGATATTCCGACATCTTGCATGACAACATTAGCCCATTAACCTGGGACTGCACATCGGATCTGATAGCTTAGTTTTTTTAGCAGCAACTTAAACACAGACTGCTCACCTGCAGCAGGTGGTCCTATGAAGCCCCCGAAGCTCCTAAACAGCATAAAGAGCCCAAGTCCGTTGTCAAAGCCCTCCAGGGATACAATGTCCACAATGGAGGTGACGTGGATAGCGACCACGCAGCCGAACAGGAACCCGTAGAGGCAGACAAACACCATGATGGCCCAGTAGCTTTGGTTGATGGGCAGCAGCAAGAGCACCACCCCGAGCAGAGTGACCACCATGGTGAGCAGCTGCATGTTCCTGACCACACGCATGTTGGCCAACCAGCCGCAGAGCAGCCTCCCTGCAAGGTCTGCTAATGCCAGGATGGAGAGGATCAATGCTGGCCAGTACTTATCCATCCCTAAACTGTTGGCGAAAGGCACTAGAAAGAGAGGTGGGATAAAAAACCCTGCTGCTGCAAAAATGGCAAACAGGATGTAGAATAGTAGTTCAGGTTTTCTCAGGAGGGAGAACTGGAAGATAACCTTCCTCTTTGGTGGGAGCTCAGCGGCATCGCCTTCTAGATTGTCTTTGGTTTCCTGTATGGGGCTCTGGGGGGCCTCCAGCGGTCTCATGAGGGCACCGCAGACACACAGGTTGAGCTGGAGACCCCCGATGATGATCAGGGCCCCCTGCCAGCTGTACGTCTCGATCAGCCACTGGAAGAAGGGGCTGAACAGGATGGCAAAGACGCACTCTCCTGAGCTTGCGATGCCGTAGGCGATGGGACGCCACTTCACAAAGTAGTGGCTCACCATGCTGTTGGCAGGGATCCATGCGAAGCAGATGCCCAGTCCTGGAAACAGAAGATAAAAACCTTAGCTAGTGATCTCTCACATTTATCTTGATACCACTTTGAGGAGTCGCAACCTTAACATTGCTGACCCGTTATCATTAACGGATAAAGTGTCATGACATAATGACCCAACAAGCGTATGAATGGTCTGTAGATTTAAAGGTCACCTATTATGCAAAATCCACTTTTTCCTGTCTTTATACATAAACATGTGTCCTCTCTGTGTAAAGAGATTCTGAAAATTTCAGGAGAAAAGATTCATTCTCTTTTTGTCCTGATCCATTAATATAAAAACCTGTCTGAAAATGAGCTGATCAGATTTTGGCCACTTTGGCTAATGGTTACAAAAGCCAAAAAAATCAATCACCAACCAAGGTAACACCCACCACCTTATCACCTGAATCTCCTCCTAGAGACACAGGGTGTTTCTCAATCTCGAGTAAAGCTGCTCTAGAGCTACTATTTCAAGCATACTACGTCATCGAGTGCCGCCGAAGTACTGTTCCTATAGGCACATGCACACCGCAGTACTTTTCCCACAAAGGTTCATGAGAAATTAGTTAGAACTAAAGAGTTCTCATGAAGTACAGATCACGTTCACACCAGAATAAGTTCCTGGGGAAGGATTTGGCAAATGAAGCCGCCGATGCCACTTCTTCTTCTGCTTTGGGTTTACTGGCAGGCCGAAAACAACTTGGCGTATACTGCCACCCGAAGGCCCCGGCCGGAAGTCCCCGGAGTTGGGGACTCTCTTCAGTAGAAGCTGCTGGGACTCCAGCAGCTTCTACTGAAGTCTTCCAAGTAAATCGCCAGAACACCGACATCTCCTCATCGCCACCGCTCCCATGTTTTCTTTTGTGTTGCCATAAGTTAGTCTCTCTGCGTTTTTGCGCTGGGCTAATGCTAATAATGCTAGAATAATAAAATAGCGGCTTCACAAAACCTTTTTGGAGTTTTACGGGGTGTGGTTTGCATTCCGCCCAGCCAATCAGACATAGGAACCTTTTTCTCCCACGAAAGTACCTGCTCTTTAGCAGGGACGGAAAAGGGGGTAAAAAAGGTTCTGATTAACTAATTTTAGTTTCGGCTCTTTTTGGTGTGAACGCGACATTTCGGAACTATATCGGAACTAATGTCGGAAAAGTACTGCGGTGTGAACGCGGCTAATGTCCAGCATACTTGTAATTCTACCGAGCCCGGCGTACTTTGTTTGGAGAGATTTCGAGGCTGCACATGTGTAGACCATGGGTGTAGACTCCACGGTCTTAAAATCCCCACAATGCTCTGCACACGGACACATTTCCCCAAATCTGTGGCGGAAAATGTAATGCAGGGCCTCTCGTATGACGCAC